TCCGCAGGTTCGACCCCTGGGTCAGGAAGATACCCTGAGGAAGGGAATGGCAACCCACTCCGGCCTTCTTGCCTGAAAAATGTCATGGACAGAGAAGCCTGGCAGGCTACCAATCCATGGGGTCGCAAAGAGTCAGACACGACAGAGTGTGTGCACACGACACACACACACACACACACACACACGGTACGAGCATCCTGGGGCACAGAGCCTCCCCACAAAGGCATGTCACACCGTGCACCCCTCTTCAGCCCCACTCCCAGTATTTTTATACAAGGAAAAGCAGGTCTAAATAAGGATCAAGGTGAGGAAAAGGGTCTGGCTAGAGAGGGCATTTCTACTTGTCATGCCTTCCTGACTAGAAAATAAAAGATGGGAAAATGAGGGAATGACAGGAACAATCTCCTTGAGTGAAGCCCATGTATGAAAAGCTGAAGATTTCTTTTCATGATGTTGACCAGGTAAACTACCCACTCCTCTTCTGTAAGAGCACCTAACCCAGAGCTTGGCACATAACAGGAGGCTCAAAATGCTTTAATCTCCCTTGTTCTACTCTCCCAACCTGAGGGCATCCAGCTCTTAGGTGGCAAAAACTCAGGGTCCAAACCACAAAGACACAGAACATTTGGGGGAAAACTAGAGGTTGAGAGCAAAGAAATAAATCATACAATCAACTCCTAAGTCCCCTGCAAACTTGGTGACCTACCAGATACAAAATTGGGAAAGAATTGGAATTACTACATGCTGAGGGTGTGAGGGCTAAGTTCTAAAAGGAAATCAAAGTCCTAGAAAACTAAAGTCAAAAGAACATGTGGGTGATTATGCAAGAAGTAGAGGCCAGAAACATTAATAAAGACATAAATACTTCAGAGTCATAGTGCATCAAGTGAGTATTTTGTAAAAAGCAACCACATGACAAAAACACTCAAAGCTTTAAGCCCTCCTTGGCCTTGGAAAGTCATGAGACTTTTTTGGCTAGAATAAGGAATGCTTTAGAGAGAGGGGAGAAAGAACTTCCATACCTCTAGGTGGCTCCCATTTTTAAGCAACTACCTCTCTCCCTTAACTAAATGGCCAAGCGACACCTAGTTATTCATACAAGTTACGGCAATAGCTGGGCAGTACTGGCCATCTTCAGGTCTATAACTCTCCTTTTTCTACCAATTTGTCTCCTTCCTCTGAATTTGATCACCGTGCAATCCACAGCTGCTGACTAACATGTTATCACATGACATGCAAAGTAATATGACATGGTAAGGTTTTTTTCATCAGCACAGGATTACTGAGAGAAAAAAAAAAACCTAATCCCTTTAATGATGTACTTAGAAAAAAGGATTATCTACAGAAAATCACAAGAGTAACACTAATTAAAAGGTGTCTCAGTTTATTTATGAATTTTCCACAGAGCCTCAATGTATTCATTTTATCTGATATATGCAAAGGTGATTTCATGATATACATAAAACCAGCAAAGAAGGAATGCAGGAGAGAACCAAGCCTGGCTTTTGTGTTAGGAGAAGTGGGTTTAACAATGATAAAGAAGGCAATCAATATACAAATCACAACTTGTATTATTATCTTATTCATTACAATAATATTTATTAAGCATTTACTATACACACAAGAAGCACTGATATCCATAGACTAGTGAATAAACTAGGCGTTATTTCTGCTCTCAAAGACATGAGAGAAACATGAGACAAATAATAATTATAAATTGTGGTAAGCATTAAGAAGGAAAAGCTAACTCTATGAGGGAGACAAGTGGTTCTAAGTTGCAAGACTTTAGGAGTGGCCTTCTCAGAGAAGACCTTTTATAGAGGATATCAGAACCAGCACAGAGGATGAGAAATTCCTCGAGGGGGTGATCCTGAAACAGACCACCAGCAGTAGCCCTAGCCGAGTTGGCTGTAGAGTTGGATCCTGTGGCTGACCAGAGGTGACGAGTGGGGACGCGGCCAAACCTACAGGACCTTGTAGATTTTCTATTTTATCCCAAGAAGAGCTCTGAAGACTTTAAACAGCAAGTGACTTCTTTTTTCCCTTTCTGGCTGCTGGTGGTAAGGACGGCAGAGCGTGAGCGGCAGGTCTCTGCAGTGGGGAATGAGGATGGTGGCTTACAACTAAGATGGGAGCCCAGTGGAGACTGAAAATCAGGTTTCAAAGAGATTATGCCAGAAAAAGTAGACAGGACTTTGTGACAAACTGGCTAGGTGGGGGTGACAGAACAGAAGACCTAGTCGAAGATGACTCCAGCCTGAGCCACTCACTAGGTAGATGAGATGAAAAACAAGAGGAACAGTCTGAAAAGTGGAGTAATTGTGAGTTTGGTTTTTGAGAAGTTGCAGATGCTGCCATTTATTGGCTAAGATGTGTCGAGCATCACTTTTACTAATAATATCCCCATTTTACAGAAAGCAAACTGTAGCTCACAAATGTGGAAGCAGCTCGGCCAAGCTCACTCAGTTGGGAGTAACACAGTCACACTTACCACCTGAGTCTGGCTGGCTGGCTGTGGGATAAGCATTCTTTCCACTATAGAGAGCTCTTCGAAACTACCTCTGCACTCTGAATTTTGAAATCTATTTAGGGTTGGAGCAAGCTAGCATTCAAGGAGAGAAAACAGGTGATATGTTAGTTTTAAAATTCATATCTTCAGAGTTATGCGACACAATGCTCTCCTGTCTCACTCTCATCCCTACTCCATTTCTACCTGCCAAGATTTTTGCAACGTTTAAAACACTAGCAAGATATCTGGGATCTTAATGCCGTACAACAAACAAGCAAAGTCATTATTCTAGGAGTCAACCATAATGAAAAGAGTAGTAATATTCAGTAACAAACAATATTTTTACTCTCAAGTCATTACCTGTATCAACATAAAAGAGACCAATTAATGAGTAAGAAACTCTCAAACCCTTATCACAGCTCAAAATGGCAAAGACATTCAAGTCAAAAATAAACACAAGCCACCCAGTACAGAGGTTACAAAGGCTAAGCATTGAGAGTCACATTAAAAAATCAAAACCTTAATAGAAATAAAATTTTAGGCAAAAAGAAATGATACCACAACCTTATAGTCTAAAATCTGCAATTCCCAAATATCTCAACCAAATGCCAAATTCAGGAAAACATGCACCCTAAAAGCAATCTAAACATTTGCCTTTCTTTTTAACTGCTTTTCCCTGCAGCATGCTGACACTTCAGCAAACTGTAATGCCTTGCCTCTCTGCACAGTCTCATGATTTCCTCCCTCTCGGATGTCCCCCTTAGCTACTGAAGCCCCCAAATTAGGCATCATCAACGAACCTGGAAAGAATTCAAAGCATTACTGCCAACTGAGTCTCTTATTGAGAGCACCAGTTTGAGACTCTTAAAAGGAGAGAAAATGAGGAAGGGGAGATTTGGGGAACGTTTTTACCATCTATATTACAAATTTTATTTTTGTTGGGTCTGATCCTTCAAAGAAAGACCAGCAAATCACATTTGGTCTTCTTTAAGTGGGGGATGGTCACATGTAATGTTTATGGTTTAGGGACAGTTCCCCATGGGGATAAACAGGATTAAAAGTCCAATTAATATGCCAGAGAGAAGATAACATCTCACACAGACCACCCTCCTAAACTACAGAGCTCTGCTCTGTCCTGCCTCCTGATACCCCAGTTCCATTCAGCACTTCCCCGCAGAGGGCTAGCTGGCATTCACTGCTGCCTCGCCCAGGCAAAGGATGGGATGCTGAAAATCCATCAAGAAAGCTTCCCATTTTTCTGTTCCTTCACAACATGACTGCCAACTCCTGGCAGCCCAGACATGAAAGACTTAAGAAAAAAGAAAATAAAAAGCAAAAATAAAAGACTACCTGGGCCTCCTACCAGAATGGGTGGTTAATCCAATCGACACAAAATTTAGAGATTTATACATATTTAAAAGGGCTTCCTGCGGACAAAACAGATCTAACGAAGAACTGCTGAACCACATTATACTGGAAAATCCATAAATGTTCGTCCTCGCTGTGACCAGGCTGGAGGATAAAAAAAAAAAAAATGCAATGCTTCCCTGTACCGACTGCGCTAATCTGACGGGTTTAAGTCAGCTATGAAACGTGCCTTGCATCTACCTCCCGTCTGAATGCCTAAAGATCAGTGGACAATTACATCCGACGCTTGCACTGCTCAAGATGCCGTTTGATGCTGAGAAAGTAGTGGTCTAGCAACCCCAGGCGGCTCTAGGATGCTAAAATAACAACGCAACACTCGATTAGGAGTCCAGGTACTCGGCTTCTAAGACGCTGTGCCACCCGTGGTCCTCACATTCAAGGCTCACGTCCCTTCAGGTTCAATCTTACTAAGCTTTCCGCGACGAATCCTCTCAAAGTTGCTAGCTTGAAAAACGGAATTACTCTGAAAGTCCCCTCATCTGGACTCCCCTCCCCAGACGGGTTGGCGGCCAGCGGGAATAGGAAGAGAGGATGGTTAATCGTTCAAACAACATTTAAAAACCTGTAAACCAATCATCGTTTCAGAGGAAAGAAATAAGCGTTCATCAAGCCGACGCTGGGCAAGCGAGCATCCGATTTCCATTCAGAGAGAAAAATATTAAAGAAGCCAGACATAGGTTTCCCTTCCCAACAAAAGTGGCCTCTAAACTCCCCGGCCAAGGACACTGGGAGGAAACAGAGAGGCTGGGAACAAGCTCGTTGTCTTGGTCGAGGCGCGGGTCTGCGGCAGGGAGAACGAGCAAAGGGGGAGACAGCAGGCAAAAGGTGAACCGGAGGAAGCCGGAGCCCGCGGCGGCGGCGGGGCTGGAGCTGATCCGGCGAGGAAACCCGAGGTGAGGAGAGAGGGGCGGGGAAGGGAGCGCCCAGAGGCTCCGGGAGGAGGAGGGAGGGGTCCCCGGACGCTGCCCAGAGATCGCGGCCGCCCAGTAAAGTTAATACTTACTCAGTTTCGCAACTGCGCCGCCCCCGCAGGCCGCCCCGCGGGGCCGGCTGTGGCAAGCCAGACACGGTGCCTCGCTGACTCTCACGGAGCAAAATATTCCATCGCCCGGGGCTGAGACTTGTAAAACTGCCCTCCTCGGTCACCCCGGAAAGTAGGAGGCTTTTTCTGCAGACTCTGTTAAAAAAAAAAAAAAGAAAGAAAGAAAAAAAAAAAAAGGGCCCTTCCATTCCCCCAGGACTGATGGTCTGAATTGCTTTTCATCTGGAGTGGCAGTGATTCAGCGACCCCCTTCTCAGCAGCAGGCAATGACAGAGACAGGAGACGAAAAACACAGCGAATGAATCAGACGTGAGTAACCAAGTTTAGAAAGAGCTGGGCTCAGATTCAGAAAACCGCTCCCCCACCCCAGCCCCTGCACACATCTACCTTTGAATAGAGCACATCCTCGAGGAAGTAGAGCGGTGCTTTTATTTGGAAACGCACATGTGTGTATCGTTTTCACTGTTCCATCTCTTTTCTTTTGCATGCGGTTACTCTAGTCACCGGACAAAATTCGGTCTTTGGTTCAGATTTGTAGTCACACAAGCCCACAACTCAGGAAGGGCTTTCCGTTTGGAGGGAGATGGTATGAGGATAGATGAATGAGACGCAAGGAAGCATTCCGAAGAGAAAGTGTCCCTTTTGATTGTCCAGACACTCGTTTTTTTTGTTGGTTTTTAATCATTGAAACCGGGATAATTACATTTGAAGCACAGCTTGTGACCGCTCACCTTACTCAGGGCTTGACTTGTTTGGAGTTTGGGTTGGTAGACTTTTTGTTTCTTCCTCTTGTTTTTTTGACCTTTAGCTCTTGCACAGCTCATTAGTTCCTCTGCCTCCGAGGTGAACTAAGGAGAGAGATGGTAAGACTCAAATTTGGCTAGTCAACAGTTGGAGGATTTGGGGACAAGAAGAGTTCTCTATGATTCAAGTGTAAAACCCAGGGGAACTTTTTAAAAGATGGAGGGCATTGGATCCTCTTCTCAGAGGAGTTTTCCAGCCTTAATGTTCACATTTCTTAAGCTTTCATTCCCTTGTCAACCTTTCACTCCACTGAATGACATCAGTCACCACCTGATTGCCAAATGTGATGGAAAAATTCAGCCCCCACGTGGCATTTGCCAGTGTTGACCCCTCCTCCTTTTGTAGAACCTGCCTCCCTTGTTTTGCTGGAATAGTCATCCTTCTTTTATGGAGGTCCTGAAACAGGGTTGAGTGATAACAGTATGGAGTGTGGTTATTGTTGAACCTGGGCTCCAGATCTTTCCAAGTAGAAGAACCTTAGTCTTGTTTCTGTTGGTCACCAGGGGGGTGCTGACCTCGATTTTATCATTTGTTCAGAGGTGAACAAGTTGACTGACTCATGACAATCACCTTTCATATGACCAGCATGTTAATCAAGATGAAATTTATTATGATGGAGTAACTGTGTCCACTATTTAAGAGAAGCACTTACTAGGATCCAGGAACCTGGTGAGGTGTCCTCATGCGTAAATGTTTCCTCTTGGTGGCTACAGATGCCAGTGAACTTACCGCTGTCCAGCCTGGATAAACCCAGACGTCTCTTCCCTACCTTAGCCCCATGTGGTTAATTCATTCTTTGTTCAGCCTATAGTATAATTTGTTTTGAGCTTTCTTAGCTGTAAATCACATCCCTGTTAAGCCTTCCTGAGATTACACCAAATGTCCTTGGCAGGATTTGTAAACAACCCTTATATCTGGTCTCTAATTATATTCCCTGAAAGTAACCTAACTGGAATAAGTGAGTGTTCATGCACTTAAAGCCCCGTGACACAGTCAGATTTTATTTTCAAGAGAAGAATCTGAGAGGGTGGATTCAGAAAAGAGGAGAGTCCCAAGGGAGAGAGACATATGTCTCCTCTTTCCTGAATCAGTGAGAATGAACTAGTCGATGGCACCTAGAGATATGTTGTATGTATTATTAGTTTCCTGCTGCTAATTGTAAACAAGTTACGCAAACTTAGAGGCTATAAGAATGTGTTATTACAGCTCTAGAGGCCTGAAATCCAAAAATCAAAATGTGGGCTGCTGTTTGTCATGGAGGTTCTAGGGGAGAATCCACTTACTTGCCTCTTGTAGTTTCTCCATCTCTTGGCTTATGGTCTCTTTCCCCATCTTCAAGGCCACAGAATAGAATCTTCAAATCTCCCTTTTGTGACTTCTGCTTCACGTTTAGGAAGACATCTCTTTCTCTGGGCTAGGCAAAGAAAGTAGGAATTGATGTAGGTACATTTCTAGCCATATATGTCATGAACTGAATTGAGTTATTTGCAGAAAGAAAAGATACTGTCTTCATTACTAGTGAAGCTATCATCTGAATAACTTTTTTGACTGTGTGATTGCTAAAATGGTGCCTCATTAGTCCAGTGAAACCTCTTTGCTTCTGGTGACCCATGTAACTGAAACCCAAGGTGTTAACACCCTAAGTTCACATGTGCAGTTCAGGGAAATAAATTCCTTTCTCTGGAAATCCCTGGCAACTCTTTTTATTGTGTCTATGGAATCATATGGCTAAGCTAGAGAAATATGTATCTAGACCAGCATTTCCCAAACTGGCCCACCAGGGAACACCACCTTGTAAGATGGGATGCTGGGAAGACAGTTGTACTGTGCTCAGATAAGGCCCATGAAACACAGTTGTGTCTATGGCTTAGGCCAGAAGAAGTGTGTCAGTGGGTCAGATCCATTAAGATCCATGTATCGGGAGGAAGTCCCAAGGGAGAAACAAACATTTTTGTCGTGAAGAAGGTATGTGTGCTGGAAGGAGTAAATTGTGGACTTATGAATATAACTTAGACATTCCATTATTATCAAACTCCACTGTTTTTCCTTCTTTTCCCCTCCTTCATTCCACTCTCTGTGTTTTACCCAGAGTACTTTACAGCTGCCTAATCCCAACTAGTGGCTCAGGACCACTAGGTTCTCTTACCACGTGACCCTGAATTTGCTTGTTTACCAGTGGAGCCTCCCTCTACTCCCCGACCTCGCTCCCCCACCCCCTTCTTAAAGCCAGGGGCTATCTTGTATTTGTCCATGTATTCCCCGTGCATGACACAGGCCTCTCTCAGACTGGGAGCCCAATTGATATGAGTTGAAATAACAGTGAAATGAATGAATGACAGTATAAATGCAGTAAACTCATGTCACCTGCTCATGTTATATTTGCCTTGGATCATCTTTCTAATGCATAATGAGCAGAGAGTTCCATTTCCTTAATTAATAAACATAACAAAAACATAATAAATATGGTAGTGTGCTAGGTTCTGAGCTTATACAAATTGACATGACATAATCTCAGCATTCTGTGAGCTCACAGTCCTGAGAAAGGTGATGCTAAAAGAGGAAAAGAGGCAAATAATGCTTGTTGGCTATCCTATTCTCTTTCTCCACTTTTTTCTTAGAAACAGAAACCTGATTTTGTGTTCAGTGAGAAGTTCTCCCTCACAGCCTTCCTTGCAGATAGGGGTTACTAAGTTTTGGCCCTGGGGACGGAAGGTGTTGTATGGGCCTTCCAGGAAAACTCATTTGTGTGTCCTCATTTATGAGCAGGGCTGACTCAAGCACTATTCTTGCCTAAAACACAGATGTAATAGCTGGAGTTACAACTCCAGTCTTGTGATATCAAGGCTACCTAGAAGCCTGAGGTCATCTACTAAAATTTACACAAATGGGATCATTTAGAGTTTTTCAGACACTTACCTGCATTTAGTCACTGTTACTGACAAGTTTAGAAGGAAGAAAAAAATCTCTCCTCTTCAGTATGTGTGTAGAAAGCAATTAAATGTGGTTTTCTTTACCATTCCTAATGAAAATCTTGTACACATACTGAAACACAGCAAAAGTCTGTAATTATTATGATTTATTTGACCAACATAAAGGGCCTTTTTAGAAACAACCAACAATTCTCAGATCTATAAGAATTTTGAATTTAATGATATTTTCTTGTTTAAAAAAATAATAAAACATTTAGATACCAAATCATAAACAGCTCCTTAAAAGACCCTCTAATAATGTGATGGGGCAGAAGGATGACGATCATATATTTTATTAGACAGTGAAAAGCAGTATGAAAAGAAAAAGCATAAACTATAAAAGGAAATTATAACAGGGTATATCAAAAGTAATAAATGCAAATATATTTAGAAATAGGATTTTAAATGTGATTGGTTTCTTATTTAGGTAGAAGTTTTTGAGAGGATAATCCCATGAAAGTTTTCTTAATTTTTTAATTATAGGCTAGAAGAGTGGATTTAGTCAGCTGAGAATAGCTCAAGAAGAGCCTATACTGGGATTAGAATATTGGGGAAAAATAGTGAATGTGGTGCCTGCTGTTATGAAGTTGTACCTTTGTAAATATGTGCAGTAAAATCTGAACAGTCTAGCATTCTTTCAGCCTCAGTGCCACTTACCAACTCCCTCCATGTCTCCAGTGCTATAATTGGGGTTTATAATGATGATCCTATATGACTCTGAACTATAGCAGAAAGATTAAATTATCTTCTGCTTTGCCTTCATGTATTCAATTATATATTTTTATTAATTGCAAACTGGAAATCTGATCTGTTTATAACACTACTGGTTTAACCAGAGCCTCCTTATCAAGGACCCGGTCATGGACAGTAATAGAGTTTATAGTTCCTGGAAAGGAAACAACCCAACAACGAATTTAAAATGTGAGATTTATATGATTATAGTAAGAATAATTATTTTAAAATAATTTAGAATCATTTAGCAACATTTAAAGAACTGTAACATGTATTGATTAATAATAAATGCTGCACATCCAATTCTTTTAGCAAGTATAATAATCCATCTTCTGTAAGAAGAGAAAAATTAGAATATGAACAAAATAAATCTTCATTTCAAATTTGGTAGAAGGTGGACTGTTAATGTTAGCAGATATTAGGTGTAGGCCCAGGAATAGGGAACAGTGCAGAGAGGATGAGATGGTTGGATGGCATCACCTACTCAATGGCCATGAATTTGAGCAAACTCTGGGAGATAATGGAAGACAGAGGAGTCTGGCATGCTGCAGTCCATGGGGTGGCAAAGAGTCAGACAGGACTTAGTAACTGACCAGCGACAACTGGAATATCATACACTGAGTTGGGTTATATGTCCCAGTTTGGTTAGGGTTCTGTCAAACTGTTCCTCTTCTCACCCTTGGTCTCCCCAGAGATGTATTGCTATGGTGACAATAAGGACCTCTAGTAAACACGCGATGAGCATGTATCTTAACTCAGGTTCTCTGGAAGTGGAGCCTGAAGCAGGGATTCTGTGCTTCAGAAGGGGACGGAGGGATGTATCATAGGGCCAAGGGGGATAGAGATCCTATGGGGAGGTCTAGAGCAGGAACTCGGTTGCAGAGTTGGTCCCTTGGGGCAAAGAGACTGGCCTTTTACACCCCTATTATCAGTCACTCTTTGGCTGTGGGTTGGTGGTAACACCTAAGGCATGGCACCTCCTATTCCCCAAGGGCAAAGAGGATTCTCTGAGAGGGAGGCACCTGCGTTTAGTAACTGACTCACAGCCCGAGAAAAGGCTCTGAGAATGGTACCAGCAGTACCCATTAAGAAATCAGAGCCCTACACCAACCCTTCCTGATCCTGTAACATACTACCAAAAAGTTCCTCAGAGGCCAAGTCCCACGTGTGACCATGTTTCTAAAGGAAGGCATGTTCAGAGCACAACTTGGAGTTGTGAGGAGCCATCCCCTCTTCCAGCACAGGCTTGGAAACTCCCTCCCTCCTCGCCTGCATGTCGTGCTAAGTAGGGGTGGGTGGTGGAAGCTGCAGGGACTGAGGTGAAGTGCCTAGCAAGGAAAGGCGCAAAGGATGTTAGGAAAATGTAGGATAGCTCCAGACAGGCTGGGATGGGACAGGGTACCTTGGGTTAAGGCTTATGTCTGAGGCCCACTTGCCAAGCTCCCCCTTTCTTCCAATGCCCCTAGAAACGGTACTTGCCTGTTTATCTTTCTTCTGTCAATCCCTGAGCTGCACACCAGGGTTTCTATCTTCCCTGGCCACTGGAGCTGTACTTGCCTTTCTTCAAACGGCTTTTCCACTGCTCTTTTTTTTAAAATTATAGTTGATTTGCAGTCTTGTGTTAGTTTTGGGTTTAGAGCCAAGTGATTCAGTTACATGTTTCTTTTCAGATTCTTATCCCTTTTTCCCCGCCACTCTTGATATAATAAACATTCAACTTCAGCTTCTCAGACATCCTTAATACTTTGTCAGCTAAATATAATGGTGGACATGGGGAGATTTTTAATTTCTCAGTCACTAAGTTGTGTCCCACTCTTTGTGACCCTAGGGACTGCAGCATGGCAGGCTCCTCTCTCCCTCCCTGTCTCCCAGAGTTTGCTGAAACTCATGTCCAACCGTCTCATCCTCTGCCGTCCCCTTCTCCTCCCGCCTTCAATCTTTCCTAGCATCAGGGTCTTTTCCAGTGAGTCACCTCTTCACATCAGGTGACCAAAGTGTTGGAGCTTCAGCTTCAGCATCAGTCCTTCCAGTGAATATTCAGGATTGATTTCCTTTAGGACTGACTGGTTTGATCTCCATGCAGTCCAAGGGACTCTGCAGAGTCTTCTCAGCACCACAGTTTGAAAGCATCCATTTGTCAGCATTAAGCCTTCTTTATGGTCCAACTCTCACACCTGTACATGACTACTGGAAAAAACTATAGCTTTGACTAGATGGACTTTCATTGGCAAAGAGATGTCTCTACTTTTTAATACACTGTCTAGATTTGTCAGAACTTTTCTTCCAAGGAGGAAGTGTTTTAATTTCAGGGCTGCAGTCACTGTCAACAGTGATTTTGGAGCCCAAGAAAATAATCTCTCACTGTTTCCATATTTTCCCCATCTATTTGCCATGAAGTGATGGGACCGGATGCCATGATCTTCGTTTTTTGAATGTTGAGTTTGAAGCCAACTTTTTCACTCTCCTCTTTCACTTTTATTAAAAAAACTCTTTAGTTCCTCTTCACTTTCTGCCATTAGGGTGGTGTCATCTGCATATCTGAGGTTGTTGATATTTCTTCTTGCGCTCCTGATTCAGCTTGTGCTTCACCCAGCCCAGCATTTCTTATGACGTACTCTGCATGTAAGTTAAATAAGCAGGGTGACAATATACAGCCTTGGCATACTCCTTTCTCAATTTGGAACCAGTCTGTTGTTCCATGTCCAGTTCTAACTGTTGCTTCTTGACCTGCATACAGGTTTCTCAGGAGGCAGGTCAGGTGGTCGGGTAGTCCCATCTCTCGAAGAATCTTGCATTGTGTCTTATGATCCACACAGTCAAAGGCTTTAGCATAGTCAATGAAGCAGAAGTAGATATTTTTATGAAATTCTCTTGCTTTTTCTATGATTCAATGGATGTTGCCAATTTGATCTCTGCCTTTTGGTTCCTCTGCCTTTTCTAAATCCAGCTTGTACATCTGGAAGTTCTCAATTCACATACTGTTGAAGCCTAACGTGAAAGATTTTGAGCATTACCTCGCTAGCACGTGAAATGAGCACAGTTGTACAGTAGTTTGAATATTTATCCATCGCAGGCTGTTCCCCTTTCTCGGTTTAGCTCCATGAGCCACGCCCAGTGTGGGTACTACGGTTGGTCTTTGACAAAAGCAGAGGCTGTGCTGTAAGGCTGCATTTCAGGGGAGCACCCCAAGGCTGTCCTGGGAGGCGCTGAGGAAGACTCTGTGGTCCTGGCGGGGAGCGAGGGAGGCAGAGGGCGAACCCCCAGGAGATGCAGGGGTGGGTGGGGGTACAGGAGTGGTTGCAAGGCAGTTCCCGGGTTCCTCTAGCAAACTCAGAGACCTCCCTTCTCTTCCTCCCCTGGCCCTTCAGCCCCAAGCCTTCCTCTGAAGGCACCATTTTAGACTAAAGGAAGGTACATTTTTGACACAGATGAACAGATGAGTATGGGGCAAGAGTGTAAGATACAGGCTATTATAGGCTATGAAGGAAGGGAGGAAAACCATAATTTTTTCCCTAATCAGGGAATGAAAGAGATGTTCCCTTTACCCTACAGGCTGGGATAGAAATAAATGACTCCAAGAACTACTGACGTTGAGATTACGAATAGTACCTCCCTGGCTGGAACCAGAATATTTCCAGATATGGTTCTCAAATAAGTAAGGAATTGGGGTGCCCTAGCAGTACAGCCCATGTAGGTGCCGTGTGACTCAACGGGGTGGCTGGTTAAGACAGTCATGCTGTCATCGTCTTATCTTATTCCTCACACTTTCCAGGAGAGACCCTTCCCTTCCTGCTGCTGCTCATCACCCTGGGTGGGGATCCCAGTCTTCCTGACCTGCGTGGGAGGTAAGGCAGTCTGTTGAAATAAAAGAACTTTAAGAGAACTCTAAAGCTCTTTTCTCAGAAAGATTGGGAGGTTATCGAGACAGATCTTAGTTCAGGTCCTGACTTTGCTTCTTACTACTTGAGACCTTAGGTTTCTTATCTGCAAAAAAATAAGGGGTAGGGGAGAAGAGGATAATATTGGTAGCATGTAAAGAGTTACTGTGATTAACTGGAATGATGTGTGTAAAGCATTTAGTACACTGCTTGATAAGTAAGTGTTGTTGTTGCTGCTATTATTACCATCTGCAGGCTTATAGGTGAGAATATACTTTCAGTTCAGTTCAACCATTCAGTCATGTTCGACTCTTTGCGACCCCATGGACTGCAGCATGCCAGGCCTCTCTGTCCATTGCCAACTCCTGGAGTTTGCTCAGACTCATGTCCATTGAGTGGGTGTGCCATCCCGACATCTCATCCTCTGTCGTCCCCTTCTCCTCCTGCTCTCCATCTTTCCCAGCATCAGTGTCTTTTCCAATGAGTCAGCTCTTTGCGTCAGGTGGCCAAAGGATTGGTTTCAGCTCCAGTCCTCCAGTCTAGTCAGCTTCAGCATCAGTCCTTCCAATGAATATTCAGGGTTGATTTCCTTTAGGATTGACTGGTTTGATTTCCTTGCAGTCCAAGGGACTCTCAAGAGTCTTCTCCAACACCACAGTTCAAAAGCATCAGTTCTTCGGCACTCAGTCTTCTTTATGGTCCAGCTTTCACATTCATACATGAGTACTGGAAAAACCATTGCTTTGACTAGATGGAACTTTGTCAATAAAGTAATGTCTTGACTTTTTAATACTCTTCTAAATACCTCTAACATAATAAATTTTAAAATATAACAACCCATATCATATTATCATACCCATTTTATAGATTAGGAAGCCAAATCATAGTCCATCCTTAGATGTGGCACAGCTGAGATTCAGATCCAGGAAGTCTGGTTTCAAAATCTACACTTTTTCCCAGTATGATATGTGGTTAATGAGTGAGGCAAGACTTAAAAAGTGCTGAGAGAATAAAGCATACAGTTGGCATGGGTTCAGGGTGCAGAGATTAGACTGGAATTGTAAATTGAGGTCTGGGTTAGGCAGATCCCTTTCACCCGGTCCCCCATGTGTGCTGAGGCTGAGGGGTAGAGAGTGAGGATTGGGCAGTCCCAGCAGCATCAAAGCTTTCTCACCATGGACTGCTCACCCAGCAAAATACATTAACCTACAGTGTTAGAGTGATTGATAAGTTTCCAAGTCAATTTACAAGCAAATCAGGCATATAACCCACAAGTGAACTATGGCTAAGACAGTGATGTGCATTTTCAAGGACATTCCTGGTCTTACATGTCTTTTACCAAATAAGAGACCATCCTGGTAGATAACCCAGTGAGTGCTAATTCTTCTGCTTAATTAGCTTCGTGACCCTGGGCATGCCCATTTGCCTTCCTGCACCTCCGTGTGGTGGCAGCGTGGCCTGACAGAGGTTCTTTGACCTTAGCATCGACTGATAGAGCTGGCTGCCTGATGGGAATCCCCTTTCCTCTTCCGCTGTTCCCTGAATACCCTCCACCTGTGTTTATTACAAGTGGGCCAGATATACAGGTGGGTCTGCATTCTTTTCACAGCAAGGGCTTATAGAATTACCTTATATCTAGCTCTAACATTTTGAGCATGTGAATCAGAAATTAAAATAATTAGTGCCATTGAAAGAGAAGAGACATGGAAGACTTGCTTCAGCTTCTAATAATGACCCAAAGAGCAGCTCAGAAATCAGATTAAGAAATCCAGAAAAAAGGCTGATTCATGTCAATGTATGGCAAAAACCACTACAATAAAAAAAAAAAAAGAAAGAAATCCAGAAAAAAGAAAAATGAGTTAAGCTTCATTTGCACCAGGAATGTAATACTCAATGAATGTAACTGTTATTTTTTTTTTTACCTTATTCTGTGACTTCACCCCTAGCATTCAATTTGTATATTGATTTCTGAGCATTGGTTTCCAAAACAGTCATCATCTTCTAAGGAATATGGGCCACCAGAGCTTTATAACAAATAAGTGCACAAAGACTGGATACCTTATGAAGAAATAGCCTCTTGTTTCTTGCTACCCTCAAAACTGGGACATCCATGTACTAATAGGGGTCGTGACAGCATGTCAAGCTGTAGGAAAAACTGCATAATACTCTAGTGATTCTAGATGGAAGTAGATAATCAATTCAGCCCTGGACAGCTTCAGAGAGTAAGTCAGAAAGAGATCTTTTTATTTCCCTCAGGGCAGAGATATTTTTTGGTTCTGTGTTTTAATTTTAGCACCTGCTGTTTCCTAGGGAAGTGTTGGTTAAAACAGAAACTCTGTTTATTAGAACCAAGTGTCAGGAATTAATCAGAGATGAATAGCATGTCAATTTCCCTTCTCCTGTAATATAATAAAAGAATAATCATGACTGTAACTCTGGGGGTCTGTGTAGGTAAGGAGTCTAGTCCTCTCTGGCCATTTTATGTAGCCTCAAATAAAGGGATATAAAGGAATTATTAGGAACAAGTTAAGTTTAAAAAAGCAAGACAAGCAAGACAGAATGAAACATGGGGGCTAAAATTCCAGGCCTTGGCAATCAATCCCTAGACCTGGGTGCTCTGCAGAAAAAGGAAACTGATAGAGACCCCATGGCAGGTCATTTTAGCTTCTGCCTTTCCAATAGTCTGGAGTTAGAAAAGGGAGGTAGTGATCTAAGGTAGGAACTCATTTACATGTAATGAATAGTTTATTGTGAGCTCTCAAAGGACATCCTTAGGATATATTTTAGAGATAGTGAAGAATTCACATAAATAAATAAAATTCAAGTTTCTAAAACTGAAAGAAAGTACACTGTGGTGATATCCTGACTTCTTAATATGGGCAGAAAGTAACATGGGCAGAAGAGAAGATGCATTGGGAAGTAACATAGGTTTAAAGGAGGTTTGAAAGGTTTCTAGGACTGGAATATAATCCTCCCAGGGTGTGGACAGCATCTTGGAGTGTTCTCTTCTTTGAGACCTGCTCTCCAGCAGCCAGTTCAGTAGTTACTATGCACAGAAGAGATGCTTGCGTGAGTCTTTCTGTTAGATAAATGAAAAGCAAATTAATGCATTTTTTAGAACTCCCTTCAGAGTCCTGAGCCTGAGCAGGGACAATTAGCAAAAGCCACAGACTATTTGAGAATGAAGTATATTGAAGTCTTCTAGTGCTGGTTGTCAGTTTTTAACCTTTCTTCACCCTCCTGGCTACTCTTGCCCCACTCTTGAGAACAGAGCCCTGTAGATGCCTCCAGGCAACCCTGAAGTGAATGGATTAGCTTCTAGAATAGGGCTGACTTCAGCCTGTTTATCTGTCTGGGTCTCCATATCTGCATGTATAAAAAGAGATGATGATAATGAATATTTACCAAATAATGTGATCTGACCTAGAGTTGGCCCCAGTTCAAGGTAGCCTTTATCCTTACTCTTACTATAGACATCAGAAGTTTCAGGTCAAAGTCCTGATGTTTTAGTGAGATGCTTTCCCTTCTGTCTCATGGTGGGACACTGAGTCAAGTGTAAGACAGAAACCCAGCTTCTTAGTTAGGAACGGGGAGAGGAACGCCCTAGTGATGATTCAGAAACGAGCACCAGTGTCAGGTGGGCAAATATGAGACAGAACAGTTTCTTCACACAGTTGTTTGTTTTTTTGGGGGGGGTCCATTCTACTGATAAACATCCTCACTCAGAAGTTATTACTTCAAATAAAAAATACTGGTAAGCCAGGTGATTTGGCTGAACTTGTTGCTGAATCTGTCAAATCCCCTGTCACGGCCAAACTGAAGCTGAGAAAACTTGAATTACTGCCTGTCAGTTGAGCTGGATGGGGTCTTAGGCTCATCTCATCCAGAGTCTTCGATTGCTGGTTGAGGAGTCAGAGCCCGACATGTCTGGGGACTGCTCAAAATAATGCAGCAAATTAGACTCAGAGTTAAGACTCAAGATGGGATGCAGACAAACATTTGTATTTATTAAGCTACACAAAATTTCTATTCCTTGTGTCATAAACTTATATCTCTCTGCAAAATAGTCAATGCAGCAATAAACCAGGATAAGAGAAATTTGTGAGTGAAATTGTGCTGACAGGTTTGGGGTTGTCTTAATAGTCTCTGAAACCACAAAGAGCTTTTGATTCAATAGTTTGCAGCCAATTTGAGAATTTATATTTATTTTCAAAAGGTGCTTTCATTCTCAGAAGTTAAAGAAATCTCTGTTTCATGTTCAGTATTCAAAAAGGCTGAGTGGGCTGGTGATACCCATGGTGATGGTTCTTTGTGGCCAGTGCCACTGTTAGACCGAGTACTGCTCAGAAAGCAATTCGAGGCAATTTTGGAGGAGCCCAATGTCATGTCTTTCTCATTATAGTACGTGTGGTTGTCAAGTGAGAGAAACCACATCCCTTGGTGAGTTCTGCAATCAATGGGCTGTGAGCAGTCAGCCACACTCGTGGGGAACAGCTTTCCACTGTATTTAAGACACAAGACTTAACTCTGGATCAGGCTGCTCAAAATTGCCTTTTTACTCAAGATCAAGCACCTTCAGAAGTCCTGTTGTATTAAGGAACTATTAAGTTGTACTGAAATAAAACAGCTAGAAAAAAAAAATGTGTACTTGAAAGATGCAAAGAATTACCTTCATAGGGGCCCCGTTCAGGTGTATCTTTTCTGCCATCAAGATTCTTCTAGTTGACTTTTTTTTTGGCTGTGCTGGGTCTTTGTTGGGTCTCAAGGACCTCTTCCATCTGGCACAGGGGCTTAGTTGGCGACATGCAAACTCTTTGTTGTAGCATGTGGATTTAGTTCCCCGACCAGGGATCAAACCCACATCCCCTGCACTGGAAGACAGATTCTCAACCACTGAACCACCAGGGGAGTCCTCTAATTTGCATTTTGATATGTTTTCCTTTTCTTAATTTTAAACCACAAATTTTCCTTGTGCCAATTAGAGTGAAATGGAATAGAGGTCAGTCACTCGCTAAATTCCTCTTAGATCGTGAACATTCTTTCTCTCCCTGTGGTCACGTGCATGCTGCCTTTACCAGTCTGAGCCCCTCATGGCAGGCAGTAATCAATGTCCTGGAGATGGGATCAGGGAAAACTCAATCCTCATTGTTCCCATGCTTCCCCCTAGATGGATGCCTGTGTCCGTCTTGGTTCCTTTCCTCCACACTCAGCTGTGTCTTTCCTTCTGCTCATCTCTTTATTCACGCCTTGTACACTAGAGGCTTGAGCACAGGAGATTTTTCCTCCCTTCCATTATCTTTCCTGGTTACCTTATAGACTCATCTCCTCATACACCCCTGTTCATTATATTCTCCCTCCCATGTTATTCTAAAAATCTACCTGTAATGCATGGCTGGTAAGCCTTTTGTTTTGCTTATGATTAATCTTGAAAGAGGACTGCACATTTTGGTATGTTTTTAAATTAAAGAACCACCACCAGAATACTTCTGAGAGTTCACTTTGACTTTATATTAAAAGTATTAATATTCATTTCCCACTCCCCCCACCACATCCTTCTCTAATTAAACTTAATTTCCTTACTGAAAATATTTTTAAAAATTATTTCTGGCTCACATCTTGAGTGCTACAGTACAGTATTGTGTTCCAGTACTTTTCATTGCAGATGTACCACAGGAGGTAAATGAGCCCTTTTGAAATAATTTTGGAACCTGGCCATTTCTGGAACATTGTTTCTATGGGAAAACAAATTCCCAGCTTTTAGAACATGATTTATTTTAAGTGGGGGTATTTCCTTTATGTGTTTGGTACCAAAAAAAAAAAAAAAATCTTTTTGATGTGGTGACATAAAATCAAAGAGACCTGCCTTAGTTTTTACCTTGTTGAATATTTTCATAGTAGAAAAAACTGAACCTGTTGATTTCTTAGATTTGATTGTTTTAGGTAGCATTCTAGAAACGTTTGCAATGCATGTGGTTGGTGATTTATGAGTTTTTCATAATTAGAGTATGTGGAGACTGCAGTTGTCCACTATTTCTGTTTTTCCCCTCTTCCTTCCGGGCCTCATGGAGAGACTGCCATGATTTTCCAGTCTGCCATGGAGCCAGGTGTGGCCGTGGAGCTGGATGCTCGCCAATGGAATGTGAGTACAAGCGGTTTGAAGAACTTTTGCCTTATCTGCTTAAGTGGATCTCCCTGGCCGGAGACTCTCTCTCTTTCCCCTACTTGACCAGCTAGACCTGAACAGCCCTGCACACCAGCTGCGGAGGGCAGAACTGTTGCCAGCCTGGGTCTCCAGTGACTGATGCAGAGCTACCACCAAGCTGGGGCACGTATCTTGCCCCGTTAACTGGGAGACAAATAAACTTCATTGTTCTTCGAGCCACTGTACTTTGGGGCTCTTTTCTTAATAGCAGTTTAACCTACTCCATAAAATTACTACAAAAATTATTTTACAAGATGTCCTATTGTAAAGTATTTAACCTCAGTATACTGAATAATCAAACTATATAAACACAGAGTCATTTTCTTCAGAAAACAAAACTCTGTATAGACATTCATCTTTGTTTCTCTTAGGAGTTTTCTCTATACATTAAGAAATGGATAAGGTTAATTTAATCTTCCATTCAAACATAAAAATCTGTTTGCCAAAGCCAGACATATTTTCCAAAGAGTAAGGCTCATTTAATCTTCCATTCGAACATAAAAATCTGTTTACCAAGGCCAGACATATTTTCCAAAGAGTTGTTATTTGAAAAGGGTAATATGTTCTGGCCTTCATTATATCCATTAAAGGAAAATAGGTAAAAGAATACCCACCTCAGAAGCACATTTCTTTGATATAGTATCCCATGATAATCCTATTTTAATTAGGGCCAAATTCTGCTTATGATCAAATGCAGTCTCAAGAAACAAAATTCTTCAGGGGTCACTTTATAACACAATAATGAAAGAAGCATAAAGCAAGGTTAACATCATTGAATTTCAAAAAAGAAAAATTACAAATTGGAATGAGGGCAGAATCACACACATATTCATGGTTTATTTTTATACCACCATTGGTGTCATAGCTAATGGTACTTCTTTGCTGAATATTTTTGTTTATATAATTTGTTGATTTGCTTTGTTTTCCTCGCAAAGTAAAATAACATTTATAATTAAGGCTTTTTGTATGCTTCTTCCATTAGTATCTGTTAGAATAGATACTAACAAAATAATATAAAGTATGAAAGTTAAAAAGTGCCAAATTGGCCCATGGCTAAAGAGCAAACATGTAGGCCTTGAATGAAATAGGGATGAATTGATTCCTCAAATCTTAAAATTGGAAAAGTAGGAAATGGGGTTACAGAAGAATCTATGAAATTAATTTTGCTGTTGTTTAGTCACTAAGACACTTCCAACTCTTTTGCAACCCCATGGACTGTATAGCTCACCAGGCTTCTCTGTCCATGGAATTCTCCAGGCAAGAGTACTGGAATGGGTTGCAATTTCCTTCTTCAGGGGATCTTCCCAACCCAGGGATCAAATCCATGTCTCTTGTATCGGTGAGCAGATTCTTTATCACCAAGTCACAAGGGAAGCACTAGTGAATATTACTGTATTCTTCATGGAACTCAGAAC